GGCAGGAATATGATGCGTTATAAACATTCCATATGAAGTTACTGCATTTAGCTTAGTGACACTTACAAATATATGGCAAAATCAACTGAAAAACATATACATGTTAAGTATAAAAAAAAATCATCCAGTAAAATAGTTGAACTCGCCTGGGTTATTTTTGAAAATTAGATTATTCAGTGGACGACATATATAAAGCCATTCGTGAGGAGTAGTAATGATCCAAAAGTATCCAGAATAAAACATGCAGTATGGTCATCACTTTTAGGGTGCTCGATGCTGTTGAGGTTCTTGGGACTCGCTCTGATCAGAACAACTGAATGAATCCAGATAATTGTGTGTGCCATCTAAAATGAACTTATGATTGCAGAAAACTTATAGCTGTAACTCACCGTATTTTTTGGAGATGTGTCATCCTTGTTGTTTGGCAATGGAACTCAAAAATATGAAATTAGGCAGGCAGTGGTCGGAAGAAAAGATATTACAGGATAGTGCATAGTTTAAAACAGGATGAGGTGTTAAGCGAAGGAACACTGAGAATTAGATCCAGATAACTATTTAGTCCTTGATCGCATTGTTAGTCAATGTATATTTACGCTATTTACAGGTCGAATTTGCTAGAGCTTGATGTTTAAACAAGACTATGTCGCTGAAGCATGTAAATGCTATTAAAGCTTGTTAACAAACCATCAAAGCTAATTAGTTAATATAGACGACCAGTTTTTATTATCGATTGAGCTAGTTTGTCATGAGGACTAATCAGTATAACATTACGATAATGCATGTGAGCACTAATCAGAAGACTATTAGAATACAGTGTTAACATAAATATAAAATCGATCGAGAAAGTTGAAGTGGAAATAAGGATTAATAATAATAGGTTGCGTTCCTTTAGTTGGGCTCACCAATGTAGAATTATGGTCTACTATGATATTAGTACTGCTCTAATAATAGACCTAATCCCAAAATTGTAGATCTATTATTAACTCTTGATTGGTATGGAGTGGCTCAGCCATGGAGGCGTGGTCACTATATGTAGCTCACTCCTTTCCATATTTAATATTTCATCCGATCCTAAGCCAAAATATGTTCAGAAGTGCTAAACATCATGTTACTGACCGTCGCGATAGGACGAGTTTGTGATTTAATTAAAGACTTATATTTTTATTACCAAAGTTCCCATTGCATGTTGCCGGATTATTGACAGTAAGGTCGTGTTTGACTAAGCTCAAGGTCACGGCGTGATTCAGTGTGTGACTGTTAACCTTTTGGCTATCTGCTTGTGAGGATTGCTGGAATCCCTGCAGATAGATATTTGATCCCATTTGTTGGGAATATTTTTTTGATTCTCAGTTCTCGTACCCTTTGGTATTAACTGTTTCCTTTATTGCTCAGCGCTCTACTTTGCGTCAGAGAAAATTCTCACTGTATAGCACAGGCTGTACCGCTTGAGGTATTTTGTATTTCTGGTATAATTTGCTCTGTTTCCTAAATTAGAACCGTCTAAATTGAGAAAGGAGTTTGTGTTTTGATATAATTTAATACGAGTATCTCGAAAACGCTTTGTAAGCTATACAGAAGAACATAGTCTGGCCTATTCGAATACATTTTGGTTCGTTAGTCCTGCATTCAAACCGAATACTGGCAGTTCGGATCTTACACCAATAGTAGCATGCCACGTTGATACTCCAGAAAGCTACATCATGTTCTGATTGGCTGGAACTGTTCGTCTCCTTTAGGGCCTCTGGAGGTTCCGTTGTAGTTCTTGGAGGCTGAATCAACACGAACCTCGGTATTTCGGTCGTTACAGACTCTCTAATATTGGTTCAGACCGGCTCCATGTGTTACAACTCATCACACTTTTATAGTGTGATTGTACAAGGGAGTATGCAAGGGCCTCTTTTATTCGCAATGTGAATCGACAGAATTTGTGGCTGCGTTAACTCAGGAAGGAAATTCTTGTGGTCTGATGATCTAAAGGTAGTCTATTCATGCCACAGGGGCAGAGCATATAAGATCGCTAATTTCATACAAAAGGCACCAAGTGAGGTGATTGTATGAAGTAGAAAGTTCCAACTTCAGTGTAATATTAATAAATGCGACTGGATTACTATCGGGTACAACAACATATGATTCCGTTTTGAGGTGGCTAGTATGCCTATGTCCCATTGTGATACCGTTTAAGACCTTGGCCCGAGATACTCGAATGGCCTAATTTTTTTCAAAACAAATAACGTTAGTCAGCTCGAGGTACATAAACTCATGAGTTGCATAATTCTGGGTCTATGCCAATACCATATAAAGCCTGTGTTTCTATACAGTGCTTTTATATTGTCCGTTTATATACAAGAGCTTGTAGTGGCATTGGACAATAGCCACACAATCCACAAAGCTGTGAACACGAGACTACTCAGAAAATAGATATTCAATATTTAACTCGGGGAAATACCTAACAATGGAGAAGGCGCGGAGAATGAATTGAATGGACTGGCGTTGATCGAGTGGCATGGCTCGGCCATGCAGGCGTGGTCTCTGCTGAATATTACCTTATATCTTTTATTCATATTAAATATATTGTTCTTTCTTTAGCCTAACCTTGTTCTATATAATGTACTGGTAATTGATACGATACAGTGAGTTGATGTAGTCGATGGTGTGACTTCCACGTAAGATCTTATAGATTAGGCAGTTATATCATGATAAATCTACAATTTCAGGATTAGGTCTATTATTAGAGCAGTACTAATATCATAGTAGACCATAATTCTACAAGCTTTCGTTTAAGCAAAAACCTAAAATTGAAGGAATACTGCAATATCTCACAAGAATAGCTTAAGGAATGGACTGTGATCAGAATTACGTTAGGGTTGGATCCTTTAAATCAAAGTACAGTAACGCTTAATCTTACATTTACGAGTTTGTGCACTAAATAATACACCCTTCATATGTATCGTTAGGTTTCACCGATTCGTCCAATTACAAACTAAGCAGTCACACTATGTCAGTCAAAAGAAGTTGGTGAATCGAACGTAAAAGAAAAAGTCTTCCTATCTAAGTTTTCTGTCATTTAAAATACCCTACCATTCGGATCATGTGGAGCAGATATGTTATATCTTGAAAAACTGATTTCTCGATATGCCGCGTATAACAGTGCACTAGAACACCAAAACTCTTCCAAGTCGCAATTAGAAGACAGAAGACTAACGAAAGGAATATTATTCCAAACAGTGTCAATCATAGTACAAAATTGTCAAGTATTTATAGTTTTTAGTGAGAACGAAATCATCATTACAGTCTTCCAATCCGCATACAGGGGGTTATTAGCATCATCCAATCGGGAAGCTACACGTTGGAGTTCTGGAACATTCTTCCGAAAGGTGATCGGATGAGACGTCTTCGGCTCCTTCTGAGCCTCTTACAGCTTCCTCGAGTTCACCGGTGGTCCGTCGTCACAAGATACAAAGAGCCACTTCATTCGTGAGCTAAATAGACTTTGAGATGACTCTAAGACAGTAAATGTTGAAGCATTATATTTGGATCTCAAGACAAATAACCAGAACATGACGCCAAAGTGCTCCTTCCTTCATACTTCATACTGAAATCCTTTCTACAATGAATGACCTTATAGCTGCTTATGGATACTGTACTACGATTATTTATCTAACCTAGGCAGGTGTGACATTCCTCCTCCTCATTTCTTCCTCCATAGTACCAGTTGCTTTTTTCTGAAAGCTTGTAACAACAGTGAACTTACTCTACAGTCCCATCACAATAACTTGCCTATTATTCAGCTTATGTATCTGGGTGAATACCACCATATAATTTCACTGATTTTATCATTTCGATAACCACATTTTTATCACATCTCGTTACTAGATTCACGTTGCAAATTATTGGTCGGGGTTTTTTTTATTGACGAGGACCTGCTGTGTCAGAAATTGTTACCTTCACGTTTTCACTGTCTTTCGTTATTGAAGCATGGTCGATCGATCTCCTTGTAACGTCCGATCCCAAATAACAATAGATCCAAAATCCAAATCAGGCATCAAAGTCTGTTTGCAAATTACAGGAAACTGACCCAAATACCCTTCTAATAATAAATAATAATAAACAAACTCTAAAGTACTGAATTGAAGTCGGAAGTTGAAAAATGAAAATGCGGCCGTACACTAGGATGGGGGCAAGGTAAAAACTTCTTATTAGAGTGCGAATTGTTTAATATCCGTGGTTTGAGCCATAGAAGAAGTAAATAATCTACCTTTTGAAAAATATCTATTAAAAACTCTCTTTTTGAATCCATATTGATGCAAGACAACAGCAAAAGGATTACAAATTGTTTGCATTCCCTTTCTTCATCGGACTGGTCCAGAATGTCAAGCATATTACGTAAGAATCCATTCATGGGCAGCTTCTAGTCTTATTGTTAAGTTATGAACCACCTACTGGTCTTGTTGGTCAGACTGGGTTACGTGTGGAAGGTTTCCCGAATTACAGGAAGATCCGGGACTTCACAGACATTGCTAGTTCTTCTTAAAGACTCGGTAAGAATAGCTCATTGGATGAATATAAATCTGTTCTTCCTATAAAAAGATAGGTAGAGGATTCTGATGGTGAATAGCAATGATTTTAGTGTTTGTTCTCACTGATGCGCATAGAAAGTTAAGTCAATGTTTTCTCATCACCATTCCCTTAGTATTTGACCTATGTTCTGTTTTTTAGGCTAAACAATCAAAGTGAGAAATGTGTGCTCTCTTAGCTTGGAACCATCCCCAAACAATTCAGATGCACAACTGAAAAACCAACAGTTCCCCATTTCCCTCATGGAAGATCTAATGTACGAAAACCAGAACTAAAGTACTTTAAATGCTACGTTTTTAATGAGTTCGGCGCATTAGGTCCTTCCGATTACCAATGTTTAATGAAAATATTGCAAGAAAGTCAACTACCTGGAAATTGTTTGTGTTAGGCAAATTGAGAGGTGAGTAACCTTTGTGATTTGTGGCGCGTTAATTCTAGCTTTTAAATCGTAGTGTTCTGTCGATGGCGCATTTTTACCACGTGACTACCCAACGTCCTACTGCCGTGGTAAAAACGTGTACAGGTAATGCAGGATAATCTCTATTATCTCTTTAATCAGGCCATTTTACCAGCCCAAATGATCTGAACTTACTGATATGCAAAAACACATATGTTGAGGTTTTTGAAGTTACATGTGAAGGCTTGAAATTGATTCGAGATGTGCCTATTAATGCCAAAATCGTTGCCGCTAGTCTATTTAGACGAAAAGTTAGTGTTCGAGGAAATTTTATTAATTCCAGGATCGTGAAACGGATTCGTTATTTTTACTCACTCACAAAGCTGGTGTCGCTATCATTGAATGTGTGCGAAGCAATGATTCAGTTGAGTTTGTCACTGTCGCTTCTGGAAGTGTAGAGGTACTGCAATATTTTAAGTGTACTAAATATTTCAGGATAGAAGTGCACGAATAATCGACCAGGGTTTCGACGTTCTAATCGACCCTGGTGCCAACTATATTGTTGTACGGCTGTATCATGGGCTTTTAAAGATCATATTACTCCAATGTATTGGCGAAAAAATAGGCACTGATTTTCTAGATACAAACCAGTGGACTGTAAATACATACAGCGTGAGGTTAGTGCAATCCGTTTGTAGTTTATTCCCTTAAGAATCGAAGAAGGTAACATTGTTGATATGGCCTTCATATATGGCTATAGTTTACCAACATTTGCTATGATTTATGAGGATGAGCTTGTGTTGCATATGAAAACATATGAAATATATGGACGGGAGCCCGTACTTCGCAATGTTCAACTGACCCTAGATTCCATAGAACCTGATTCTAAACTTCTTATTCCAGTTCCGAAACCCTATGGAGGCGTTATTTTAGTCGGCGACAATATTATATGTTATCATACTAAAGATGGACCCCATATATCTCAGTACATTCCACAAGCAAAGGTGAGTTCTATTCTATTTTCTTCCTATCTGTTTTAAATATTCCGTTTTAAATCTCAAGTTATGTTTCCATAGTTTGTTTCATTAAGTTCCCCAAATATCTTATGCATAACACTTAACTTGACCCCTTAACAGTTTTCATCTCTTTTCTAGTTTCAAGTTTTCTGTAGTGATTCGATAGCTCATTTTAACAGTATTGGTTGGGTATGTTGACGATTTATATCTATATCATTAAGTTCTCAACTGTCCACTAATGATCTGTGCAATCGGCGTTTTTTCTCTAAGTTCATGTCTAGTAATCGTCTAGTGCCTTAAAAGATTTGTGGGGAAAACAGGGAGAATACCCAACTGATATTTACTATCATATGTTACTATAGTTTTTGTCCAGTTGGAGCTGTTTGGGTCAAGTCAAAGCAGTTCTGGCCGTAAACGAGGCCACAAATAACATTCAACTGTTCGGTAGGCTTGAACCCTATATTCGATTTGAGTACTCTTATCTATTTGTTTATTTGCACACAGATATTGGTGCAAAGGGGCATCAAAAACATATGCGCCACACAATAACAATGAGAATGTGAAGAGATAGAGAATGTAAAGTGTGTGCAGGAAAAAGGAGAACAATAACGAACAGAAATTAGTGTATGATAGTGAAATAATAATAATAGTGCGAGAGGCAGTTCAGTTAGCACAGATACAACCAGAAAGAATTCTTCCAGTTAAAGAAGTTACGTTCATTTGTTATGAAGAAAGTTACAGCAGGGTCACCACTGGCCTCTGTTCTGAGCCATATCTGATAACGTCTTAAGTCACTATGTTGCACCATCTCTCGGACCCCAGCCCGGTTGTCGTGACGAACCAATGGCTGCGAAACGTGGCCATTTAAGGGTAAAGGATACTCGTAAGTTACTAGAAATATTGCTCGCATCTGCTTGGTTAACTGGGTAAGTAATAGTGAGGTAAGACTCATGGTATTAGGGAATGATGGTTAATCAGTTGATGAGGTTGTGAGTCTTTATCGACTGAGATGGTTGAGCTACGTGTTACGTGTGCCTGAACACTGATTACCACGACGCGCAATGCTGACTAGTGTTGGGGATGGTTTACTGTATTTCCCTTCCAGCTTCCTCGTTATATCATATAGTTGTCTGATATTTCTTTCTCTTGCGGCTATTTTTGCTGTCGTTGATAGGTCTTCCACATATTTCTGCTTGTCGGCTACAATGCTCCTCTTCACTTGTTTGCTTTAATGTATTCAGTTTGTGCCTTGACTTTCTCTGTTCTTGTCCGGCTGTCTTCCTGTTATTCCTTTCTTTAATCAAGAATAACCTAAGCAAATTCCGTGCCCCCATGTTCATACCTGTTTACTTAGAATGGAGAATAAGACGGCATCAGATTCACTACCAGCTTCATTTCTGATCCATTCATTAAGAAAATCAGAACTCAGCATTTGTATTAAAAATCCAAACCTTGATTCATCCATCCCTCTTTTTCTGTTCAAGTTATATTCTTGCTCGTCGTACAAAATCCTTGGTACGCAAGTCCTTACGTGGTTACTAAGCTGCATGATCCATATAACCGCATTTGGAGAATCTTAACTTTCTAAAAAATTTCATACTTTGGTGTCCTCTCATAAACTGGCCGATTCCCTATTAATGTTGGTATAATTACCTCCAATGTTTCCCATTTCATTCTCTCTGTATGCTAATGTGAATTGCAATAGACTGACCGATACACATTTTTGGTGATTCTACGTCATATCTATTTGTTTTAATGTCGTTAAGGACTCAAGCAACTGTCTACGTATTAATGTATAACAATGTTTTTTTTTAAATTTTGGAAAATATATTCATCTTTTAAGGCTAGCCAAGTACTGTGTTACGCTGCTGTTGATGCACAACGTTATTTACTGGGTGATATGGCTGGGCGCTTATACATGGTACATTTACTCTCCGAAGATATTTCTGCGGCCGCTAGCAATGGTACAAGTACCTCTGATAGTCTTTCAGCAGTTCGAATTGGTTCTATCCGAATTGAACTTCTTGGTATGTTGATTAGATCCTATTACTTTTGTGTAGGATTGTTTTCAGTTGTGATTCTCGTTATATTTCAGTTTTAGTGTTCTAATGACTTCCAATAGTCATACAACTTGATGAAACATTTTGTTTACCTATGAAAAAGAGACAGTTTGTTGGAACATGTTTCTTTTATACCTACAATTATGTTTCATATACTTTTCGCCTAATGCTTCTATAGTGAATGACCGGTTTGTCATATTTCCTTATTTTTTTGAAAATATTGGGTTTAGATCGTAAAGAAAACCATCTATCCAATTACGATGTCTGTAAACTTAGTTTTGCCAAACTGTAGTTGACTAAACTTTTTGATAGATGGTTAAGGAAGTAAATTAAATGTGTTATACCTTAATGTTCATGGAATTTTGTATTAAGCTATGCTTTGAGCGATAATTACTTATGATTTCCATTTTATGTGATAGAGTATAAAAATATCTCAGTTTTTGTTTATATATCAATTTGGCTGATAACTTGAATCACGCTTTCCAACTTTATTCATTTTCTTAGGGGAAACTGCGACACCTGAATCTATAGCCTACCTAGACAATGGAGTTGTATTTATTGGCTCAACACTTGGGGACTCACAGTTGATCCGTTTAAATCCTGACCCAGATCCTGAGCGTAATAGTTATATAACTATTTTAGAAACATATACAAATATTGGACCGATAGTTGACATGGTCTTATTAGAAACAAAAGGTCAGAATCAATTGATCACTTGTTCAGGAGCTTATAAAGAAGGAAGTTTACGTGTTATACGCAATGGAATTGGGATTCATGAACATGCTACTATTGATCAAGATCTAATTAAAGGTTATTGTTTTTATTTTATTTTGTAACGACTTCATCATTTTACTACTTGTTGAGATTCGAGTGTAAAAGATTCGGAATTTCCCTATAGAGATGGTAATTGATTTGTCATGTTTATTACTGTTATCCTTAGTTTGGAATGAACTTGTTTTAAAATCTTTATGCACTAATCTGATAATGTTTAGGATTGAACTTTTTAGTTTGTGTCTTTCAGTGTATTATTCGGTGATGTTCATAATCCCCAAGGTACCTGTCGGACAACAATCATGTATATATATATATATATATATATATACCTTGCTAATTTCATCTTTGTGTGCTGATTTAGTGTGACAACTTGATCTAATACATATTTGTGCCACGCATTTACGATGTTGGTAACTGACTGACTGACATCACTATACGTTAGTTGTAGTTGGCGACACCAGATAATGTTGATGTCAGTAGACCAACCCTCCTAAAATGCTTAACAATTTAATAGTTAAATCATACTTGTTTTCTGTTATCCCTTGCTTAATTAATCAATTCACGCATAGTAAAAGCCAAAGCGGTTTATACCAATCTGGATCCCCCTTGGCGACTTCGTGATGTTAGTCTGGCTGTAAAAGGTCGGATCTTTAACGCTTTGGTGAGTGCAGTTTTGTTCTATGCTTGTAAAACCTGACCATTCCGAGTTGAAGATGTTAGACGACTCTCTGTTCTGATCATCGTTGTCTCAGAAGGATTGATGACATCCAGTAACAAACCATGTTAGTAATGCAAAGGTTCGGCATCGTGTGTTCGGGCACAATGACGATTATTCAATTCTTGTCACTATCGTGAAACATCGACTTCAGTGGCTTGGTGATGTTCTAGGAATGTCGTACCAGGAAATTCCACGTCGTGCGTTATTTGCCGACGCTGGGACTGGTTGGAAAAAGCGGAGATGGTCAGTGTATGACATGGTGTCGTGGTATCAAAGAAAGCTGTACAAGACTAACTTCTGTTGGTTTTTCACGACTCCCTGTCTGGGGTCCGAGAGATGGTGCAACATAGTGACTTAAGACGTTATCAGATATGGCTCAGAACAGAGGCCAGTGGTGACCCTGCTGTAACTTTCTTCATAACAAATGAACGTAACTTCTTTAACTGGAAGAATTCTTTCTGGTTGTATCTGTGCTAACTGAACTGCCTCTCGCACTATTATTATTATTTCACTATCATACACTAATTTCTGTTCGTTATTGTTCTCCTTTTTCTTGCACACACTTTACATTCTCTATCTCTTCACATTCTCATTGTTATTGTGTGGCGCATATGTTTTTGATGCCCTCTTGTGCAAATGTTTATGTGTTCGAAATGATAAATAATTGTTTTCTCGTGATTATCCTGATTCTGTCATCGACTACTTATACTGTTTGATTCTTCGTTACGTTATAAGTTTTATGCCATATGATTTTATTTTTAGCATCCACAGAGTTGTCCAGGAGTACAGCATAAATGAAATAACGCTGATTTCTTCACGATTTTTGAGTTCTTAGTCAACATCTGGTATTATATCCTCAGGACACAGTAGGCTTACAGTTGATTAGATCTTAAAAATATACGTCATCAAAAATTCAGTTTACTTATCTGATTCGAATTGTGTTTCGATCTGTCCTAATTAGTAGTTAGATTTATTTACTCACTTATATTTATGACATCCTTGCCGAAATGAATCAAATTGGAATGTTTTATTCATTTCTAGGTGCTTGGTGCTTCCCGATTGAATCTGATCGTTTCGATGATACAATTGTAGTATCTATGGTTGGTCAGACCCAGTAAGTAATGTATTTAGTGTTTGTCTGGATCACTTATTATAACTCAAATTCTTTGTTACCCGATTTATTAAACACTAAATATCTTATTTAAGGTACGGATACGTATAATTTCGTTGTCTTCACTACAACTGAACCCAGTTACATTGGGTCATCTGTAACCAGACACAATCATTGGGTTTATCCTGTTGGGAATAAATAATGGTTTATACGATTGTGCAGTTGTCTACTACTCATTTACTTTTATTTAGTTTTCATAAAGTTAAGAGACAGAAATGACTAACTATTTAACACCTGTCCTGGAATTATTATAACCTGGAAGTTACGCAACTTCACAATAAATTCTAAAATGATATACTTGTTTGTATGTATGTTTCTTCAAGTTAAGTTCACATTCATATCAACAGTATAGATAATTGATTAATAATCCATTAGACGCATTTTTATTTCTGTGGATTTTTGTTCAATATTTTAAATTCTTTATCCTTCATTCTTCCTATTTATAGACTTCTTCACCTTGCGGATGATGATATTACAGCTCTACACTTGGAAGGCTTTAAGACTGATGAACAAACTGTTTATTGTGCTACACTATCACCCTCTAGTGATTCACCTAAGCCAGAATGTATGATGATTGACGAGAATAATACGTTAGATCCTTTACTGTTACAAGCAACAACAAGTGGCTTACGCCTAATTGGTATTCAATCACTTTGTGGCAAAGGTTGTTTAACGGAATGGAAACCACCAACTGGACGTGGAATCTCTTGTCTTAGCTCATTTCGTCATACTATCGTTGTAGCAAGTGGGACAGAATTATATGTGTTAAAAGTAGTTGGAGAATCGAATAATCCAAAATTTGAACAAGTTTCGTAAGTTTTTAAAATTTCTGTTTATTGTGAAATCATATACGTCTAGTGTACACATCATATTGAAAAGCAACGTGAACATTCTTATTGTTTGTTAGATATGAAATGTCTAGCATTTATCGGGTGAAGAAAAACAAACGAACCATCAACAAATTCATTTGTAATAGGATACTTTCAGCATTCTATTATATAAATGGATTGTTGTCTAACATACTTGACTAGATTTTCAGTTTGTTTCAAACTTGGGTAGACTAGGTTATCTTCATGCTTATGGACTCAAAGAACAACAGTAAGTGTCGAGCGTAGAAATCGGTATGTATAAGTAAATTCATGATACTGATAAACGTTTACTTATAATCCGAATGCTATTCAAAATCGTTTTTATCCAACTTTATCTTGAGCGTTCACCGTTTTTACTGTTTTCACCTCGAATATCTATATATCCGTTACCTGAATGTCATTTATTCTCAAAAGAATACAGTGTGAAGAATCTCAAGATAAAACTTTTGTGTATACATCATTTTAAAAAAAGCATAAAAGCGTATGTGGTATTTTGTTTCTAAGCAAACTAGGGCTTAGTCTACACACGGATCTTCTTACCGTCAGACATATAAATTATTTTATTTGATCACTAATTTTGGTAGATTTATCTAATGAAGCTATGCTATAAATCAGGAGTTTTGATTTGCGTTTATCACACATGGATTTAATAATTCAGCCATAGACGAGGTATGAATGAAGTATTCATCACAGCTGTTATTATTTTTGTATTCAAGAAAGTTCGGAAATATGGGACCACACAAAAAGGTTGTATTTTCCTGATTAGTCACTCGACTGTAGGTGCTGCCTTGATGTGGTGGTCGGGCTTCTCTTCGTAATGATCCAATCAAGCTCTGTTGGCTGGGACAATTATGAGGAACGGTAAAGCTAAGAGCAGCAACCTAAGATCCAAGGGCGGCGTCGCATCGCTAACTAAACCAGTGTGTGACGGCAGTAAGCTTTTTATCTTAGACAACCAGCATATACCGAGATGCTGCCTTCTCACAATGGGAGGAGCTCTAGAAAAAAACGGCCCTACCATATCCCACGGACTCCCGTCTCCGGCGGTAACACCTTTAAATTAGGGGGCTAGCATATCAAAAGCTTCTCACAAAAATGTCATGTGCGACTGCTTTCAAGCAGTTGTTTTAGTTCCGTGGTTATGTTAGTGGTCCCTTAAGTTTAAATATTCTGTGTTTACCCAGACGGTGCAGATAATTAATAGTGTTTTGTTTCATATTCATTCCTTTGAAAAATATCCAACTGGAAAGAAGTTCAAAATGTTCTTATGTGATAATGTATTTTATTATTATGACTACTCTCAATGAATTCTATATATCCTATTTTGTCCTCTAATTTTTTTGCTTACATAGACATAGACAAATGTCCCATGAAGTGGCTTGTATTGATCTAACTCCCTTTAATCATGATCGTGCAATTGCAGCTATTAATGCAGTGTCATCAAATTATATAGATCCAACTTCATCTTCTACTCTTGATAAATCTGTACCATCTTTAGTTGCAGTCGGTTTATGGTTAGGACATGGTCTCGCTTTACTTAAACTTCCTAATTTAGAACTTGTTCATGAAGAACCTTTACCGGAGACAACAGCATCAACTGGTACAGCTCTATTACCTCGTTCTGTATTGATTGCTCAGTTAGAGGATATGGCTTATTTATTTGCTGCAATGGGTGATGGTACTCTTTACTTTTATACAATTGATCCTTCAGAAGGTGAGCCTTACTTATTTCCCGTGTATAATCATGTTAACACATACTGACTGTATCATATCAGAATAATAGTTGCCTTGTATAATTTCAAATATTTATTCACATGGCAACTTTTGAAAATGAAGTTGTGATTGAAAAACCATTTTTTTTCTTTTGTTCGAGTTTGTTTAGATCGTTTTCACATATTTTAAAAAAAATTGTAACTATTCTAAGAACATTTGTTTAGACATGCCTAAAAATACCGTATACCCGCTAATTAACTTCGGATAGTTATTACAAGGTAATTCAAATTCTAACGATCGGGCTAAACACTACTGTTTATGTATAAAAGTTTATAGTGAGTTTTCAACGGTTCAAAGTTCAAGTCCTCAAACTTATTTTCATGATATGACATTCGTGTGTACGTCTATATGTATGTCTTCTACACCTAATTGAATATCTACATCTATACAGCCATAGTTTTGTGATTTAAATGCAGTTGACTTCCATTTGATAAGTTACAAGCCCAAACACCTCCCCACCTACGTTGGTTTAAGGACCTGAATAATACCACTAATTCTTGAACTCAAAAATATGTTACTAAAAAGTTAAATGTAAAAAAATACACTTGATAAATAAGTTTCATTAAATTAAAGTATCTGTATTTATTCGAGTAATCTTCCAAAGTAGTTGATGGTTGTAGCGATTTATCGACTGTAGTAATGACGAGTTGTTAGTTTGTAAATTTAATTCAGGGGTTTATTTATCTACAATAGCTTTCAGTTTATTGATTGTTTCTGTTTTCCCCATGGTCTCAAGTATACATTTAAAAATAGTTGGTAGTGAAGAAACAGATGATTTTCTAGCATTTAGATGAGTTTGACCACAATTTCAGTGTATACCGAAACATGCTAGCATAGATACAGTGAGATGAGAAAACTTTAGAATAAAACAAAAATATTGAAAATTTTCTTAGAATTTCGTGTTAAGCTCCTACACCATATATAGTCCCGGAACTTATTTTCTGACAAAAGTGAGTTTAATGTGAATCATATACGTATGATCAGTCACAGCAGTCGAAATAATAGTATCAACGATAACAAAAATATTGATCATAGAGAATTATAAACCAATAGGTTCAAGTTATAAAAAGTGTGTAACAATATTAAAACTCAAAATTTAGGAGAAGAAAAGAATGAACACCTTACTATACCATTATAAAAGACTTTGTGGCTTGTCACCTAACCTTTGTAGCTTCTTCGCCAACATGACTAAATTTAAGGTATTTTTAAGTTTAACAAAGAAAGACCCACAGTTTATCTAGCGGACAAGTAATGTAGGTCTTAGTTTAAGTCTGTTTTTACACTAACATCATCTTTAGGTATAATACATTTCAAGTAATTTCAATTCACTCTTAATTTGATGTCCAAGATTTAGGCTTAACACTGACGTCTAAATTGATTGGCGAATAAGTGACCGACAAACTTCCTCTAGTCATCTATGATGTTTTATGTTAATATTTTACGTAGAGGCATAAAATTTTGTTACACATGAAACCCGTTCATCTGACTAGTGGTCTTGTCTTTGATATCAAATCAATCAGTGGCCTCAGTCAATAATTTGTTATCTTGAGCAGCTATCTCTCGGTCACACTCCTTATCATTGTATTGTCATTGATCGAGATGCCGCTCGTTCATTTCAACACTTACAGTTCGTATTTATTTATAAAATCATAAAGTCCCAATCCATAATGACTTCGCAGTTTCCTTGATTTTGTTCTCTTAGTACTGTATATTCTGTTCTCTGACGTTTCTAACACTTCTGCATAAACTAGTTAATTTCAATTCTTTGTAGATCGTGTTTGTTTACGTGATCCCAAACGTGTCAGTGCAGGCACTGGACCTTCCATGTTTCTAAGACAATGGCGTTCACAACGTAAAGTGAATGTATTTGTTTGCTCAAATCATCCTTGTGTAATATATTCAATTAAAAATAAATTAATATTTGCCAATTTAAACTTGAAAGAAGTGAATTTTATGACTCCATTAAATGGATTATTTTATAGTGACTGGTAAGAATTAAACTTTTTAAAAAAAATTTTTATATACTATGTAGTAAAAAAAGAATACAACATAAAAACATGAATATCACCACCAATTAGTCAGTCATTAACAACGTAGAACCCTGGTACATATATCCCTCGGTTCAAGTTGTCACTTTATATTAGCAGATCAAGACGGAATTATCAAGATAAATCTTAGAGTAAGTAGCATAACAGTCTTGGTCTTAGTAGAAGAAAATTGGGTATGAACAATATATTATGCTGAAAAAAAAATATATTTGTGAAATAAAAAATATTGGGTGATATATTTACAAAGCTCAAGGTTCAATGGAAGACAAAAAGTGAATGCAACTGCGTTGTGTTGACCGTTTTTAAATCGTTTGACCTGTCATCTCTAACTTTAGGTTAGGATAATTGCGTTAGCGAAAATAACATCAAATTAATCATCAATTCAACTTATTAACACTAGACTGATAGCTTTGATGAATTCATTTGAATATTCCAGCTATTAGGTTTTAAATTTCAAACTCTACCACAGATCGTAGTTTAGTTGCTGTTTTACCCGCAGGTGTGTTTATGTGTATTCTACAAAGCGTTTTGTTTAGTAAATTTATTATAACGCTCGGTTTTCCACGTTTACACGAATGGGAAGTTAATTTACCTTAGACTGATATCTACACTAAATTCCCTCTCAGTGTCTATTCTACAGAACTTCAACACAACTCAGATCAAGAACACGTTATTAGTCTGACTAAAACGTAAATATATTTCCACATGAAAAACCGACATAATCCAACAGCGATCAATAATCACTCATTAATAATAATAAGGACAGGAGAATATAGAACTCATCTGACACCTGTCAGACTATCTACATATCTGACTAAGCAAACAAACAATCATTCTCGTCCACACATCAAAATCTCAATGGCTCATTATCTTATCGTTATATTAACTTTACAGACCGACATTCTTGTAATCTTAACTATAATTTGATAAGATACGAGGAACTGAGATACCTCTAATTCAGTCTGATGGTGGTTTTAGTAGTGGTTATGATCAATTCTAGAGAAAATGTTTTGATTCATTTGTTATTGACTGTTTATCTAGCATTTTAAAACTATTTTGCGGAACGGTGGCTTATTAGTTCAATCCTTTAACTTTCAGTCATTCAGTCTCGGGTGACCGGGTAGTATCACTAACCTCCATACTTTGAATGTGGTTTATACCTGAGTACCTGGTGAATGAGTTAACGTATTTTTATACTTTGATGACCCTCAACCTTGAACTCTTTAATCTCAAAACTTATTATTTATTATGTTAATGTATAAAGACATTCCTAACAGAGCTAGATGTTTTATTATAATTTCAATTCACTTTTAAAACCCTATATTACCGATTTATATGGTACCGTCAATCTTCAAGCACACCCTTATTCCCCTACATAATACCCACACACATTCCACTGTGTTCATCATCGACCAAAGAAAAAAATTAGATTTTCTAAATGTGTCATCATTCTTTGTCATCACTTAGATTAAAAGTAATTGGAGATTGTGCAGATTTGTATTGTAAATGTTGTGACGCGCGATGTTCGAAAGCTGATACTGATAAATACACAAGCCCGCATACTCTAAAAAAGACGCAGAGTGTGAAGGGAGGTTTATTTGACTAAGGGCATTTATGTACATCCACTCATTTATGCTTATATATGTTTGCCCCCTAAAAAATTAATCCTATGAGATGGTTTGTGGCTTTTATCCCAATCGTCAATCACACATGCTTGTCATTTGCCGATTTCCGATCGACTCAGTTTGTCAATACTTTACCGAGTCAATCGCTTGTATTATTTCGCTCTACTGAGTACTAGTCTTCACACCGAATCGTAAATCTTTCATATTGGTCGTTGTTATGCGTTAATATAAATTGAAGAAGTACTGAAAACCAGAGAGCACCAAATTACTGTTTTGTCATAGTCTAGGATTAACCAACAGTCCTCAATGGCTCCTCCTCCATGTGTTGAGTCGAGGATTTTCAGGATACATTGTAAATCAAATGGCGCGCATTTCCAAAATTGATCAATTTGTATATATTTGGCAGTTTTTTTACATAAAAGGTCCTATCTGTTTTAATGTTATTGCACAAATCATATTAAGTGTTGTCTTTGTATCTGAATGCACGTTCTATAATCCACTCAGCATTGCACTGGTTACTCCGACGGCACTCATCATTGGATCAGTGGATGAAATTCAAAAACTTCACGTAAGAACTCTGCCTTTAGAGGAAACACCGAAACGCCTTGCATTACAGTCAGAAACCAGCAGCTTAGGTGTTATTACATATCGTCAAGAAATGTTTCAAGAAGGTATGGGATTCAAACCTGTTCGTTCATCGATATCTTTATCACAGAAAATTCCCAAGTCAGCTAGCCGACTTCCAAAGACTGCACCATGTATGTTTCCCTCTTGCGCGTAAAATTTTCCAAATACTATAATAACAATATTACAGTAATCAGTATTTAATGTGTAACTTATAAATATTTTTCATTAGAAAATGACATCTGTTAATCTATAAGCGTATTTATTCAACTTGTAATTCCATCTGTAAGGCAAATCACTAGCAATTAATGGACTGTTTTATAAGTGTACTATTATGTGTTTCTGAAGGGAGTTGTTTGTAGATAAAATCGAAATTCTTAGTGAAATAATTACGATTTATTTTGTACTCTTCGCTTTAACTAGTGAATTTCATTCAACTTAATATAAGAACATAATTAGATTGAGGATGAGATATATCCCAAAACAAGCCGAAAGTAAATATCCAAAAGCAAAAATTTGCAGAAGAATTTCCAAACACTGATTGTATTAAATAATTGAGACAATTCACTAAGCATGCCACTCGTTAAGAGTATATTCTTCTAACGGAAAATCCATTTCTTTCAACAAACCTATCTATTTATCAAGAACTAGTCTAGTAACTGAAGATCAACTTGACCATCTTAATACGCTTTTTGTCTTATATTTAACCCCGAAATGGTTCAAATGATCTTAGAGTAAAACAAATCGCTTGTTTTTACTTTCACACAGGATTTATTGAAGATAGTTCTTCAGGAATTTCCCACAGGTTGCTTATAAATTCAAATTACTTCATTTATGTGCAAAATACTTAATTTCAATGATTTCATGTCAAATATTTGTGTATCATTATTTTTAGCTTCTGTCTCTGCTACTGAACGAAAGTTTCGTGAAATTGAAGTTTCATCTCTGCTCATATTCAATCAATCTAATTTGGAAATTCAATTTGCACATAATTTCTACTTCAGTCAAACATTAGTTGAAGTAGCTGTCAGTATAGCTTCTGTTCAATCTGATATTCATAATGGACCATTGTTTGCTGTTGGCACTGCTTTCTTAGTAGAAGATGAAGTGGAACCATCTAAGGGACGAATTCATTTATTCCGTTGGGATCCTGAATCTTCTAGATTGGACACAGTTCTAGTGCATGATGTGAATGGTTCTGTTTATCGAATAGTGGATTTTAATGGTCGTCTACTAGCTGCTATCAATAGTTCAGTAGGTGTATATCATGTGGCGATAAGTATTTGACCGTTTGTTTTTATCTTATCTTATCTATGTGATGTTTGTTTATTGCATTTTCTTCTGTGATTATACTCCCTGTCATGTCATTTAGATATATCACAAAAATTCAACATTGACGAAGTGTGTATTTAACAAACATCCAGCCACAATCCATCAAAAATAAGATTTCCTAATTATTTAAAAAAGTTTCGAATATTTAATTTTCAAGTTTAAATACATTGGTTGATTGACTTATCATGTACAATACGACTTGAGATCAACCATGGTGGTATACGCATATTCATTCTTTAATTGTAACGGACATTTTGATCATCTTATTACATTTCGACTTCTTGTTAATTGTCTATATCCATATCTTTTTTACTCATTTCTATGGTTCTCGTCGTTTTAAACTTATCTTTGCTACGTGCTACCAACTTGGTCCTTCAGCTGAAGCTAATAAGCAGATAAAACCGATAACAATGCATATACTAACAAAAATATCACATTTCGTATTCCATAGTCTGTTCGTCCGTAATCAATTTAACTGACCCCCAAGTTTCCATAACTACATTAACACATTGAAATGAAGTTAATAAAAGAAATATATTAAAGCATTCTAAACAATGTAGTCCGCGCGACTATCATAACCAGTGGTTGGAGACGGGGTGATATAGCTCAGAATCTATCACAATGGCGTGGGTGTATACGCTCTTTGTTTTCCCTTAAATTGTGAGATTCAAATTACTTTATACCTTTTTTTCTACGAACTAATCCTTTCTCCCTGTATTATATCCTTATCTGCAACCTTTCTTTTATATATTACTACCATTGAAGTAACTACTTCTGGGTTTTTTTGTTAATCTTGTTGTGCAACTTAGACCAATACATATATCTGTCTGGTCCTACGTTGTAGATGACTGAATGATAATGAGCATGACATTCAATGTACTTTACAAATAATTAATTTTATAACCAAGAAGATCTATTTTCATTTCGCTTATATTCGTTGAAACTATTCTGTTTTACTCTCCTTGTTTTTCAAAAGGTACGACTTTTTGATATTAAAGAAGATTCTTTACGATTAGCATGTAGTTTCAATGAGAATATCATTGTACTTTTTCTTCGTCGCAAAGGTGATTTCGTTCTTGTTGGTGACTTGATGCGTTCACTAACATTGTTACTATTCAAATCAAATGTTAATAATTTTGAAGCTGTAAGTTTCAGTTAGTGTTTTTTGTTTGTCTGAAAGTCAGATACATTTATACTTTTTTTCTTACCCATTACTTGTTACGATGTTTATTACTATTATCATTGACATGAAAAAATTAGTTTAATTTTTAATAAATATATAGAGTTGATAGTTTCCTCAAAGTGTTTATTTTTGACTAAGTTATTACCCTGATATATACATTAGGTTTTGGTGTCCCTCTTTTTGTTAGTTCTCAACAATTCATTTTAAAGGTAAATGATACTTTTATTCCATACTAGATTGGACGACATCGTCATCCTCGTTGGACAACATGTATTGAAATCCTTGATGATGAACATTTTCTTGCTGCAGAAGTGGAAAATAACCTTTTTGTCGTTTCAAGGGATCTACCAGAAAATACTAAAGAACCAAGTTTTCGTGCTTTATTATCATCATCGAGTGACTCATGTGTTTTGCCATCATTATCCAGTCAACTACAATCCAATAATGCTTCATCATCAAAGACCACCGGTTCATCAACTCAACCTGACAATACCACTAATGATAATATTGTTGCTTCTGGCACTAGTTCTACTACAACTTCAATGAGTTCAATACCATCATCAGTAGCAGAGGGTCGAAGTAGTAGTACACAATCAACTCGTCATTTTCTTGATTCTCGTCTAACTGGCAGTAAACCGAATTCCAGTGGTGTATCAGGTGAAATGCAACGTCTAGTTGATTGTGCTTATTTTCATACAGGAGATTTTGTCAATGTATTTGTACGTGGTAAGTATTTTTTTATGCAACATTTTATAAATTCAATTGATTCATTACTCAACTTTGAATTATGAAGTGAAATGGTTTTCGCAATAAAGTAGTATTTTATTTGTCTGAAACCTATTATAAACACATGTACTAAATTAATCGGTTATACTTTCAAAAAGAAATTCAACGGTTGGACTTATTTTTTCTTTATCTGATTGAGTAATGCTACAATATGTTTTGCCAGTTAAGCTTTTGATTTCAGGTTACTTTTCAACATCTATTTGTTTCTCAGTCTTTCTAGGTAATTACTTCATAGTGTACATATATTATGTCGTCTTTTGTCGGATTAGCGGCCTAGCAATCATTGCATTCTTTTCGGATGTCAGAACTGTTTTGCTGAACTGAAATCATCTCTAAAGTTTTATGCTAGAAGACATACGTTTTTTAATTTCATGAAGATATTGAAAATCCTGATACAAAACACCTCAGAGTATTAGGATATACTGTTTCAGTAGAATTTTATTTATTTTAACACAGATATTGGTACAAGGAGGCACCAAACAGATATGCGCCACACAGACCTCACTTGATATGTGTGAGGGCTGTGATACTGCGCTGGTACTCAAACCGAAGCAGGTGGAATTAAAGCCAGTAACTTAAGTTAGTCTGTACCACATTTGGCACGATCTTAATCTCAGTGTGCTCATGATGAAATCCTGACCGATTTCTGCTATAACCTAGGCTTCGTCCCAACTTCAATCACCAATACATTAATAATCATATTTGGCAAATCATGTTATATCAAGCAAAGTGATCAATAATTGGTTTGTTAATCTTTAAAAGTCTGACATTATAAGTTGCTTGTACTATATCATTTAACTCTTATATCTGTTATTGGACATTGAAGGTTAAATTATCCCGACAATTGAGATCACGTACTATTTTAGTGTTCCGCTAGAGGAAGTGATCCGAACTTTTTCAAGGACCTAAACAAAATGTCACTTGAAATACAAAATCTACATGTTTATTGAATTATCTTCATTCACTCTGGACCTGAACAATCTTCCGTCGGACTGTATGCTTATCTTTTTTACTTTAGGAGTATAAACATTTCATCCGTCTATTATAAAAATTAGTAACGCAGTTTTGCTGTTGGTTTTACTTTCGGTTATTTGTAACTGCTAACGATATATATATATATATATATATATATATATCTGGGAATGGGTAACAATTCTTGCTTCTTATCACTTGAAGCTATTCTCTTTTAGCTTGCCTGAATCCTATTTAGTGCGATTGTTGTTCACATTGAGAGTCTCTGCCAGCAAGTAATTGATGTATGTAAACAAGCTGATCAAACATGGAGTAACTCAGGTCGTGTAGCTGTTGAAAAGATATACTTACTATAGTTTGAAATGATGGCCGCTGGATTTGAAGCTTACTGGAGGTATCGATACAGATTCAGGTTTGTGTAAATAGTAAATCATCGTAAACTTCATCGCCACGTTCCAATAAACAGTATAAAATTATGTAAGATATGCATTGTGGCTTAGATTACTTTGAATGCTACAGAGATTTATGCTGTAATATGAATACCCCCACAATTTTTTTATTTGTGAAACTATAATGCGAATCAAGTTTAAAAACATTTGTAATAATTTTTAACTACGTATGTTTTATTTAAGGTAATCTTGTGCTTCAGAATGCTGAAGAACGCTGGGCTGCTGTTGGTTATCCTGGTCACCTTTACGGTACTGTTAACGGGGGTTTAGGTCTTCTTGTTCAAGTTTCTCCAGTTTTATTTGCGTTTTTGAAAGAAATCGAGTTTCGTTTGTCAAATCTGGTTGTACCTGTCGGTGGATTTTCACATGATACATGGAGAGCTTTTAAAGCTGATCGTGAAATTAAGATGTCGCATAATTTCGTAGATGGTGATCTCATTGAGACAGTTACAGATTTAAACATGGACGACAAGGCTAAATTAGTCAAAGGTTTACGAATACCGGTATGTAACATTCTTTTGGTTTGATCATTACAATTTATATAATTATCGACACTAATATTTCAGTTATATACTTACGTCTTTTACCCCTCGTGGAGGAACATAGACCGCCCACCAACATTCTCCATCCAACTTTGTTCTTAACAATCCTTTCCAGTTGCTATTCATCCCTTTGGTGTTTGCTTCCGATTTCCGATGTAGTGTGTTCTTTGACCTTCCTGTTTTCCGTTCCCCTTCAAGATTCCAAGTTAGCTCTTACCTCATGATGCAGTTTGATTCCCTAAATATGTGTCCTACCCACTTCCAACGTCTATTCCTAATTTCCTCTTCAACTGGAAGCTGGTATGTTCTCTCCAACAGGAAACTGTTGCTGATAGTATCCGGCCAATGGATGTTGAGTATCTTGTGTAGACGATTGTTTATAAATACTTGTACCGTTTTGATTATGGTTGTAGTAGTTCTGGAAGTTTCTGCTCCGTACAGTAGAACTGTCGTGTCTTGTTTCGGATATTGGTTGACACTTGTTTTGAGTTTCATATACTCTTCAAGTGTAGTAATGCAGCCCTTTGCCAATCCTCGCCTTTACTTCTCCATCGGATCCTCCTTCATCGTCGATGACGCAGCCCAGTTGCGTGGAAGTTTCCGTCTCTACCAGAGCTTTTTCATCAAGTGTGAATTAGTCGGTGCTCTCAGTGTTGTATTTGAGGATCTTGCCTTTTTCTGTATATGTTGAGGCCTACTGCTGCTATACTGTCCTTCTTCACTTGCATTTGTTGGTAGGTATGTGTTATTTACGAAGTTCAAATCGTCTAGTTGCATGCAAGCTGTCCATTGTATTCCGTGCTTCCCGTCAGATGTGGAGGTCTTCATAATCCAGAAGAAAGAGAAAGGGGGGAGTAAATAGCTTTGTCTGACTTCGGTCCTCACTTGCGTCTGTCAGCTGTCTCCCATACACGACTTCGCACTATAGTCCGTCGTATTATTTAGGTAGATCTTTATATAATTAGGGAATTGCGTTGTTACGTTTCGCTGAAGTGTTTCCATGTTGTCGTCAACACTAAGACATTTTTTGAAACCTGGTTTCATTTATATTAGCGCTATTCCTATTTGTTACTTTTTGTGCGAAATTGAATTTTTTCACTTTTTGGGGTACTACTACCACCGATCTCGACTCTCAGTACAGACTGATGTAGGTCAGAACAAAGGTAGTAGGGTCAAACTAAGTAAGATACCAGTCGAAGAGAAGTCGGATCAAAAACCTATGCATCAATTCAAGCCCGAACTCGGCGCGCAGAAACGATAGTTCCAACCTCTCATATTTCCTTGGTCCTAACTCTCTTCTGGAAAAGGAAAACCAGTTCAATCTTTAGCATCAAGGTCTAGATGAATGTGCTCAGAACACATCATTGATAAGGAACTATCCAGCCTCCCACATATACTCATCAATAATAAGTGTCTATCCAGAATCGTTGAGCGAAACATGAAGCATATACCACAATCTGCAAGACATCATACAATTCCTAATAAATCATTAACTGTTTTGGGTCGTGCTGGTAGTAGTAGACTGCCAGTTGGTTTTGTAGTGAACAAGAACACGGGTGGGGACAATCGATTGTATTTAGCACAAAAATTACAGACTGTCTCAATAAAATGTGAATACCATAAAGTCAATCGTCAATTTGCAAAATATCATTCCATCATATGAAACTGTACTGTTCCCGTTGCAAACACTAATCCATTGTCTCCCATTCCATTGTACATGCGTTTTCTTACAATTCCATTGTGCTCTTGCTCTTCCTTTCTTGATCTTCGCTATCTTCTGCTGCCGGACATTACGTTCTTTTAACGCACGTTATATACTACTTATATGAATATAAGTAGCTCACACCACAGGGTTCAGTCAGGAATATATGTGGGTAAGTGACCATGACTGGGAGATTTACACACCTTTGCACCTTACCTACTGTCTGGTCTTTAGTATGTGAATCTGCCCGACATATAAACCTCAATCCGTTAGAAGGCATTGTGGGCCGAATATACTTTTTGACTCAATTTGTACTCCGACATAGAAATAGAGAACTCAAGCGTGTATGTAGGGATTATATGAAAATCTCCCAGTACAAACAACAAGCCTATTCGTTAAGAGTCATTTTTTCCTAGCGTATTTGGAGGGGTCACTGTAAGTGTTCTTGGGAATGAAATAAGAATCCTTTATAATGGGATGCACTTGTGCGTGGAAGGAATTCGGTTTACTGCATATTTACATTTGAAACTGATAAGCACAATCTGAAGTTTTACTGACTACTGTTGTTTGCATTCTTTTAAGCGTACACACTCAAAATTTGGTATTTTTCAGGTGAACATGAATGAATTCGGAACTGCTGGTTCAACGTGTACTTCTGATCCTGAAACACGAGAGTGTACTGTGGAAGATTTAGTCAAAGTTGTTGAAGAAATGTCACGTCTTCATTAGTAGCAGATAAATCATACTAAATGTTTATATCGATTTATTTATATTGATGCAGTTATTGCTATTCATTGTCTTTACTTTTGCCTTTGACGATGAAAGCCGCTAGATTTTTTTAAAGCCATATTTTGCCACCTAATTATTCCAAACATTTTAATTCTGTACATGTTTCCTCTTTAATAATACACTTTTTCATTTAATGTAACGCCCATATAAATATATTAGAAGTTCGTCGAAAATTTGTCCCATCCTTCACTACATTGTTGGTGTTAGGGTACTGCTCTGCTGCTTATATTTCTTTAAAAATATATTGTTTACACCAATTCTTTTTTGTCCTGTAAAGTATTAGCTCTACTTAAACATTCAGAAACTAGGTTTTTCATGATGATGACGTGAACACCGAATGTCTATGAGTGTGTAGAGGATCAGCCCAACCGTATTAGTTAAAGTCAAATGAAAAGACGGGTTCCTAGGGGTCAGGGATATTTCATAGATTCCTCAGCACTGGCCGCATACTTAGAACATGTAGATAGAGAGTAACTTTGGTGGCGGTAGTACAAAGTTTATAGCGAGTAGGATGAATACCACTGCTAACAATTACTGGTTGGCCCTATGAGGGACAAGAGTAATGCCTATGATTTTATAGCCTTCAGATAATGAAGTCTAAATAACAACAGTGCCAATCTAGCCATGCAGAATCTTGTGACTTCCTGGTCACTCTACATTGTTTACACACTTCCAACTTCGTCATTAGTGTTAAGGATTGACGCGACAAAGCGTTTCGGGAACGATGTAAAACACCACACAGTTATAGGCAGATAGTTTAGTCATATAACTCAGTTGTTTGCGGGCCACCCCTGTTGTTACCAGGCATCACGGCTTCGCTCTCAAGTTCGAACGGTGGGACTATTGTTTATGCCGCTTTCAAAATGGCCACCAGTGTTACGGCACTCAAGAAGCACTATTCCAAACAATGTAGCTCGATAAGGTTATTGAGTTGTCAGAAATTCTAACAAGTTGACTAACCCGAATCATATCCTGGATCAATCAGCTTAGGTATTTGGCGAAAACTAACCGCTAAAAGAAAAGCTGTAGAAGTAAACAGTAGCGGAAAGTGATAAGACTAATGAAATCATTTCCCTATACATACGTCTCAGTTGAACTACTGAGGGAGGAGCTGTCGAACAAAATTTGGCGGCTGATTAAATATAATAGAACTAATACTTCTCCAGCTATGATTATCGTGGAGACCACAACAACGTTCGAATACGCACAGGTAGAAAGGTATATTAGAAGTGACTTGAAACCGACAAGGAACGCTAGCGCTAAGAATTGTCATAGTATCGCGCGACCCATGAACTAAATATTTATATTGTGTGATCCGCACTTTTTTTACTGACTGCCGTGTATACATTCTCCAACTGCAGTGGATCTCCAGTTTTATCTCCATTACAGAACACTCTAATTAGGTTTAAAATAAAAATCCTCGGTTGTCTACCAGTACCTAAGACTGCTTAAGGCATTCCCAAACATTTTACTTACCTGAATATGTTACCTATCCAGCACTGCTGCCGGCTGAGTGAAACGATGGTCATTATGAAGAGGCTAGTTAAAAAAAAAGCTGTATTGTACAATTTATAATGCGTTAACAGTACACCTGTCGTAAATTTATGTTATTCAGCAAAATAATGTGGAGAAGTTAGTTACAGTGAAAATGTTAACAAAGAAAATGATATTAATTCTGGTATGTCATTACTAACGAGCATACGAACATTTTATAATACAGTGGTCGGAGTGAATTTCGCTTAAATCCACTACTTAATATTGACATATTGGCTGGGAAATGAAAACGAGTGGTAGCCATTACCAGTATCGAAAGTGAGAAAACCAATGTTAGGAATAGTATTCCAAGACAAAGTCAAAGTGACATTATCATTGCCAATTAATCCGTAGCCATCATCCCAAAAATAATACTTTGATGTCATTTTTTTGTAAACCAGTTCAGCTTTAGATCCACGTTTGATGATTTTGTCCCACAAAACAACTTGATTTAGTTTGTTATCTGCGGACTTGTATTCTGCAGAAAGATATAAAAAGAGTTGTTTTACATTCCAGTTGAACAGGTGATCTAAGGAAGACTGAAGGGAATTATTCGAAATGAAGTCTTACGGATAAATCAATAGTTATTAAACCCAAATCATTGTGATGACCGCTGTGAAGAGTGTAATCGTCAGCTCGATCGACTATTGCACGACCAACGTTGATATCGACAGAAGCTGATGGTCTGATGCTTACAGTAGACAGGAAACAAAACAGCATTAACGCAGTATATGCGGTGAGAGTGAGAGTCAATAATGCACTACATCTTGTTACTATTGAGTACATTCTGCACAAAAAGCTGATGCAATCTACCCGCTACGACGCGTATTATGACATAAAGCACACGACTGTAGAAAATGAAGTACTAAAACAAATCCAAGCCAATGAAAAAGTCATTATTTCAGTAAATAAGAAAATGAAGAAAAGTTTTCAAAACACTTATATCAAAAGGATGTAAGTGTTTAAATTGACATGACCTGGAAATCTAAGCATGCTGCCTAGGTTTTCGTTAATAGTGGAATGAGTCTTCAGTAATAAGGATTATAAGTTGATGAACCTGTGTTAATCCTGAGCTACTTCGTTCATCCGGAAGCAGACAAGCTTTTACCAGTCGTCTCCATTGCAGAAATGTTGGAGACTCTGTTGGTAAACAGTGATGATAATCGCAACTGCAACCATATGGATGATATAAAAAGTCGCAAGTAGACATGAACATTCTCAGTCCGCTTAAATATATCACCAAACCCAACATCACAGAGATTCCGGATCAAATGAATGACATACATAATTTCGCAGGTCGTATTGCGTCAGAGGTATTTGAAAGAATAAGACGACCCAACAATGCAATTGTGTTTAATATACCGGACACATATGCCCTTAAAAATATCAAATCTAGTCTGCTTAGAGCCAGCAATGTGACACACATACCATGTGTATGCACAAGATTAAAAAGAAGTCATCCTGGTATGCACTCACCGATCTTGTTCAGATTCAACTCATCTGTGGACGCCAGTGAGTTTTTAACTTTCGACAATTCATTGAGACAAAAACAGATTTTCAAGGATATTAAAATTCTTCCAGATAGAACACCATGCCAGCGAAAAACAAAAATAGATAGCTACAGACCACCAGCGTCAAACTCCCAAACGCATCATAATCCTAATGGTCGTAAAATTAAGCCCGATTTTAAGAGGTCGTCTAACTTTACAAGTATGCCGCCACCATAAAACTCTCCTGAATCTTCAAAAGTTCAAAATCCAGAAGAAAGTAATCCCTGTGTAGGTGGTGTCCATCCTCTTAAGAATGTTGACTTAGATTCAACCCAGTCTTTGTGCTGATGACGGATAGGATAACACGATCCAAATCCCTGTTAGTGCAACACTTAGTTACAGTAACTGTGCGACGGATAACAGGAAAATTAATCATAACATTTCTATAACTGACCACACACTTAACGTCGATATATTCGAACCTTGCAAACCATCGCAAGTATATTTAACAGCACACAATTCTCCCCAAATTACGAAGCCGAAATTAACCACAAACCTTGGGAATAATTGTCTGGAACATGTTACCCGGTATAAATAGTAATCCGAATTGTAAATGGCCACTTGGTCGCACACATAGGCCTGATAGCCTTCTTGGTTTGGCTTCCAGTATGTACATTATGCCTTTATTAGGTGTTATATCCAATAGCAATGAGAAGAATTTTTTGTAATTCCACCGACTTTTCTGACGGCAACGGTAAACATATTTGACATTATGACAAAGTGGTTGAATCTGTAACAGCCTAGGTTGGTTGGTTAAGAGTTGACCCCAAACAACCAAGCATATGCCAAAACAGTACTGTTCAAGTATTCATTCACTTCCTTGTTTTGTATAAGCGTTATATTCCCTATTATCTTATATTGAATGTTGAGAGCCTTTGTTTGTCTGAACAGGTAATCCGACGCTCCACTGTTACCGCGCTGAGATCGAAATAAAGACCTATTCACTACTTCTCTGGTTTCTTCTATCAATAGCACGAGGGTTACTTTAAGGCACGAAATTGGTGAGCCCTTTTTGAACACAAATTTAACCTCATTTCTGTTATTAACATTTTTTTTACTTAATCGTAAAAGTAGACCTGATTATCCGTAAACTAATTTGAGTATATAACTAGTTTATTCCGTATTATCTTAAGTTATTCGTGTTATAGTAACCACTTTTTGTGCTAACTTTATTGTTATATTTGTCACATACCTCATGTCAGACTCAATAGAAACCCATAATCTGGAGGATTTGTCACCAGTGGAGATAGACACTGTTATGACTACGAAACCCCGACTTCCAGAATTTGATCGTAGTGATCCTGAGTTGTGGTTTGCTCAACTAGAGCATTATTTCACGAGACACAATATCAAATCTGAAGGGATTCGCTATAGAGACTTGTGTTCTATCCTTCCTCCTTCAGTCGCCAAAGAAGTCCGTGACTTGATTTTAAGTCCACCATCACCACAACCATACACCATCTTAAGACGAGAGATAATGAATCGTTTATCATTATCAGATAGCCAAAGAATCCAAAGACTTTTTCAAGATGAAACACTAGGTAATCGGTCGCCGTCACAGTTTTTACGTCACCTCCAAGTCTTAGTGGGTGATAACACAGTGGGTGAAGCAGTCCTAAAACAAGGATGGATACAAGCTCTCCCATGCTACGTCCAACACTGTTTGGATGCACAGGATCCTGAAACCTCATTATCTCATTTAGCGCGTATAGCCGACAGAATAATGGAAAGAGGTCCTCCAACTGGATCAGGCATAATAAATCACACACAAAAAGTAGAATCAGCAAAAGACCCCGTCATAGAAGGACTCATTGCGAGTGTTAAGAGTCTCACTGAGGCTGTCACCAGAATGCAAATGGGTGATAGAAACAGGAGCAGGTGACCACAACGACCACGATGCAAGTGACAAATGTCCAGACAATCTGGGCAGTTTTGTTGGTACCACTGGAAGTTTGGTGTCAACTCAACCAAGTGCATGCAACCATGCGCCAGGCCTAAGCATAATTCTAAGACAGCGGGAAACGAGTAACCCCTTCCCAGGTCGCGACGACTGAGGAGGGGCGCCTAAACAGTCGCTTGTTTTATGTTAGAGACAGAAACTCTGGCTTGAATTTCTTGGTGGATACTGGCGCTGCTCTTAGCATCATCCCTCAAAATAAAACTGAGATTAG